ACAAAAGACATGGCTGCAAGAAATACAATTGTCAGTGTTAATACGGATAGGAAAGGGCTATGCGTACCTGCAAGTGGTAACTACCGCGCGCTCGGTAAGTAAGCTGCGACATTTCAAGGAGTTACAGCGCAAGTCGACTGTATCGTCCATTACGGTACTATTTCAAAGCTTGGGACGAAACCTGATTATGGGGAGTGAGATGTGTGAGAAAGAGAAGAATGTTACGTCGAGCTGATGGAAGATGGGACGGCAGGGAAGTCGCTAAAAAGGGCAACCGCGACTTGCGCTTGCGACCATCAAGTTGACAGATCACAGCCTATTCTATTCGATCAATCAAATGAATGCTAGGGTTGAAATCAGACCCTGTATATAGAGTAGTCTCTTTCCGGTCATTCAATCCGTTCTCTTGAGCCGTCTCCGAGCACCCTCGTAATAGTGGTCCCATCTGGCTGCTCAATCACTACCTCCTGCGGCTTATGCTCAAGCTGATAGATATCTATACCTTCTATCGTTCTTACATTCAACGGCGCCAAAGGAGATTCAGGGTAGAGAAAGTTGAATAGACTCACGCCGCACGCCTTGCAAGTCATGTGGCTTGCTTTCATGGTGTTGAACTGGTATTTGAACAGACTCTCCTCTCCAGATAGTAGCTTGAATTGTGGTTTAAGTGGATAGATCCAGAGGTACGCATTCTGTGAGCATTGGAATGTCAGAAAATCTCTCGCGATGGAACTCCACAGTCGGCCTATCACTTACACGCCAACAGATGCTGCAACCACACTGGTTTACTGAGGTAATCGGCGGGAAAATCACCTCGTATGTGACTGCTCTGCAATGGCAACTCCCATGGTACAACAGCTTGCCATCGGGCTGCGGTTCGGGCGCCTTCGGCGGCTCAGGGTCGTAACCTTTCTGTTCGACTGCCCCATTATAAACTTTGACCGGTAGAGATCTTGGCTTAATGTCTGCCATCATCATCCGTGCCTGCGGATAAATTAACATGTCAATTTGAGGAACCGACGAATATATTCTTACATTGACTGTAGCGATTTTCCCATCCGCGTTCAAGACGGCGATTGAGCTTCCACATGTCGAGCAGAACTGCTGAATGAGTGCCATTGACCACACATATTGGCTCAGGGCCCACTCTTACCCTGTGTGTATACTTCTTCTCGCCGAATTGGTAGTCGATGTATTTATCCCAGTTCGAAGTCATTTTGACCTCGCCAACTGGCAGACTGCTTCCATACTGGAATCCTGTCTGATAGAACACCATATCAGCATAAAGAACATTTCCATACTCGATTCAATATTTCACATACTCTGCTGCAATAACTACAGTTGCATTCAATCACCTTTTCAGGAGTTCCTTTCTTCTCGGCGGTGAATTGAAGGGCGCCGCAATGACAGCTGCCACGGTAAACGTCGCTTTGTTCTTCCGCCATTATTCTTAACAAAAGCCTCAATTGAGGATTCTGGCAAGGGAGCAAACAAAGACTCCGCCTTTATGCCATCTCTGAGTCAACAGCTAGCTGGTCGGAAGGTTTCCCATCAACTCTCCGTCCGGGCGAATGTTACAGAGTAATCGTCAGCCCCTGTCTATCTGGATCAACTTCGGACATAGCAACCAATCAGAAAGAGATTCCACTTTGCATGCAAGACATGGAACTTCTTTCTGATTGGCTGAATCTGCGAGATATGTTCTCCGTTTATCACATGCATGTATATGAGAAACATCATATCTGTTGCAGACTTCTCGGGTTTATTATCCTGCAAACTATTAAGGAGGCATGTGTCTTTCATCATGACATGTTGTCCGCTAGAGCATCATCATTGCGCTCGAATTACCTCTCGCCTTTGCCGCATCGTACAACGCATTGATATCACTGTTCCATTGTTTCAAATTTGGTCTCAATATCCTTCTGTCGTATGTCAACAGACCATTCACCTCTCCCTCCACATCCGTGGTTTGCGTCCAGACGCCAGCGCTGCATGCAAAGCGCTTCACTTGGTCGAGGATCTCACTCAGGAGCACGTGTGCGCGGTAATTCCAAACGTCCAAAGACTCGTCAATTTCATACGTCTGGTTGATGGTATTGATTGCTTCTTGGATGTTCCACAAGCTTAGAGATTTGTCAATTATCGAGGGTCCACATATAAACGCGCGCAAGGAGAATGACTTACTGTTCAATGGAGACGTTGTTTCCGATGCCACCGAACTCGCCTTGGATGCCGATACGCTTGGGGTCATACGGGCTTGACTGAATCGAATAGAAAGGCGAACCACACTGGGGATTAGCATAATGGTGATTGTCGCTGTAGTCACCAGCGCCATGGTCGTACCACCCCGTAGTAGCGTCAACAAGCCTTGTTGGATCCAGGGACTTGACCAGATCGGTGAGACCAAATTCAGGATATCCGTTGATAACTTGGCCCCAGCCTTCGTTGTAGATGACCTGGGAACAAAGTCAGAACGACAAATTACGCGTTTGATTCTCGACACGTACCCAAGTGTAGATACTGGGATAGCTCTTGTGTTGGTTGACGAGCAGCTCAAGTTGCCGAGTAAATTCTGCTTGCTGCGCCGCGTCCGGCAGGATCGGAACCGTTGTGCAGTTTGACAGAGTCTTACTCTGGGAAGGACGAAGAGCTGGCATGTCTTGAATGATCATGAGACCGAGCTCATCGCAAGCCTGATAGAAAAGGGCCGTCTCTACTTTGATCTGTTTTTTATATTAGCATTACGATGAATAGCAATGCAACCTTCAACTTACGTGCTTGCGGAACATATTCATGCCGACTTTCTTTAGCGCTTTCAAATCGTAGACCATTGCTTCATAATTTGGAGGCGTGTAAATTCCATCTGGCCAGAATCCTTGATCCAGTGTGCCGAAGAGGAAGATAAATTCGCCGTTCACAAGTGGTCGCATTATGCCATTCACATAGCCCCTCGAGATGGTGCGGAACCCAGTGTAGCTCTTGATTGTATCTTTTCCCAATTTGACAGTTATATCGTAGAGGCTAGGCGAATCCGGCGACCACAGCTTTGGTTTCGACACGGAGAACTGAAAGGGTTTATTGGAAGATCCTGTGTGTGTCGCAATCGCGTTGTAGGAACCCTTCTCGTAAACTGACACCGTGACCGGCGAACTTGACTTCCCAGAGCTGTGAATGGTTACATTTACCTCACCATACATATCCGCAGCCACATCCAACTGTGTAACGTAATCAGAGGGCGCAGCTTCAATCCATACGCTCTGCCATATGCCGCTGCAAGGCGTATAGAAGATGTGTGAAGGATTGAGAGTCTGTTTGCCAATTGGAATAACGTAGTCGCCGCTGTCGGTCGGATCGTGAACAAAGACGAGCAGGTGGTTGGAGCCAGAAGTCAGATATTCGGTAACATCGACTGTGAAAGCGAAGTAACCTCCACGATGAAATGTCGCCTTATGGCCATTCACCCAAACTGTGGCTTCGTAATCGACGGCTCCAAAGTTGAGAAGCACCTTCTGGCCCTTCCAAGAACTCGGAACCGTGAATGACGTAGAGAACCATGAATACAACGCATCTCTGGCTTGAACTCCGGACAGCCCACTCTCCAGACAAGAAGGGATGAGGACCTCGTTCGCTAATTTCGAACTTTTCGGTGGGCTATTGACAGCATCTAAGCTGGAGGCATTCTCGTATGTCCAAATACCATTCAGGTTCTTCCATTGCGATCGTTGTAGCTGTGGTCGCGGATATTCCGGCCATGGATTCGTCCCAACCTTGTACGTCCATGGAGTCGTCAATGGCGGCTTCTTCACAGAGTAACTGCTGCTACTGCCACTACTAGGCTGTGCAAAGGCAGTAGCTCCAAGGAGCAATTGAAGGAGGGTCATACACAGCATGTTGTATAAAGGCGGCGCCGGAGACAACAGGGAGAAACAGACGTACGAAGAGACACTGTCAAGGAAACGAAAATCCAGAAATGGACCCAACGCAAAGGATACGAAAGACTTATACCTCCAATGGAGCTCCACCGAGAACTCCGCAAACCAAGCGTCATAACATAGTGGACCTGCATGTTAGCTAGCCCGAGAAGAGTGCGAGCTCCAGCTTCTCCAGCATCAGCGAGCAAAAATGACGAGCGATGAGCAATTTCCGATGATGACCGACAGGGCCGAAGCTAGGAACTGGGAACAAGTTGCCAGCGTGCTGTGCTGAGTTGACTAGAATCGTCAGGTTCGGGCCTCTGATCACTCCCCAACACCGTTAGGCGGCTCTGGTCCATACGATTTAGCGGGGTAGAAAACCACCTCGCAGCGACGTCCCCGCATTCAGGAACATGAGCCTTGTGTTGCTTGGACCGTTGACGTTACATGCATGCATCTCTGGTTGAATTAAACCCGAAGGATTTCGTCGAAGTTGTATTCCTTGAGGAAGTTTTTCCGTAGCGTTGACTTGGCGTGCGGGAGGGCAAGGTCGGAGTTTCAGGGGAATCTTCTCCGGTAATAATTTTGCTACCTGGTTAATGAATGACAGCAACGTATATATCGCAGCCTTGAAGAGAGTCAGGAAGCTCCTGAAACGCATGTCTCAGCGCGATCAATCGAACGAAAGAGTCGCATGCTGTTCAATTTGTTCCACAGCACCGCAAAGGAGAGGCGTCTCCATCGAGTACGGAAAGGCATACACTGATCTCTGTGAGAGAGGCGGCTTTTTAAAAGAGGTTGAACAAAGCTTCGTAGTAGGCTTCCTGCGACGATCTGGCACAAATCAAACAACGGATTGGAATGAAGTTTTACATTAACCTTTACCGCCAATCTCACACGAAGATGCCATTGAAATGGGGTTCCAATCACATTTGAAGGCTGGCGCGGAAGCTTCAACCAATAGCGATAAGATATTCTGTTGCCGTAGGTTTAAATGATATATAAATGGAAAACGACTGATTTCCTTTCAAGTCCGCGATATCAAGAGGACCAAAAAAAATTTAAATTTAAAAAAAAGAGTTCAATCTCCCCCGCGTGGGCTCGAACCACGAACCTCCTGATGACTCCAATGAGTAACAGTCAGACGCGCTAGCCAATTGCGCCACGGAGGATGATGAATTGACACCTCCAGAAAAATTTGTTCTATATATACGTAATGTCCCTAAAGTTTTATTTCCCTCGCTTAACGCCGGGAGTAAAAAGCACCCCTTTCTAGTTCATTCAATAGTACTGTCAGTCATTTCTGCCTACAGAGACCTCAACTCTCGACATACTAGGTATATTAACTTTCCATTAGAATCACTTCGAAGATTATCACTTTCTCGTCTTGTTGCAATGAGAAGGGGCCGGATATGTCTCGCGCTTACGACAGGCTAAGGATGTCAAACAGCCACGTCTCACCTGCTGATAGAGGGCGCTTCATGCAACTACTCGACACTTTGGAACTTGTATGGCAGCTCCACGGAACCTGCGGATATCTATCGCTTGAGATTCGTTAAACTTGCGCCTCTGCATTGTGGGAGGCACGTGGACTTATCGTGCACTGCTATGAACTACACGAGGGTGTTGCGATGCGCGCTGAAAAACCACTAAATTCCACGGTACAACTCTGGGCATTCCAACGAAAATTCGTCGGTCTGATCGAGCAGCGTATTAAAACGTCATAAGTAAAGCGGACGGCGAGTTCAACACCAGGTCGTCGTCGTTCCGCAGAGAGGCTTGTGAGCCCAAGAAATACTAAAAAAAAAGGCAGGGAAGATTCAACTCGCATCGCCAGCGCACAGCTCGACACAATTGCCATTCATCACTCCTCATCAAACATTCCACCATGCCATTGGTACGCGAGGGTCAACCGCCTTCCATGTTTCCTTGCGTCTCGATACGAAAATTTGTTCGATGGGTGCGGCTGGTGAAAGGAAATACTGCGCTTCGCGCCTGGCCACAGGGGCGTGAACAGCCAGGACGACCCTTCAGTGTGCTTCGCCTGGAAGTTCATTGAGCACATCGCGTGCACAAAGTCTAGCCACTCAATCTCTCCTGGCTGTGACGAAGTGGAACGCGAAAAGAAGAGAGCGCGGAAGACTTTGATGGCGCGTTTGTCCACGCGGAACACGGTCGAAGGCGAATGGGGAACCACTTCTGCCGGAGGCTCAACTGCGGCAGCCGCACCTGGCGGAGGAGCCGGTGGCGCTTTCTCCCTACGAGTCTTGGTTTTGACTTTGCCTGGTGTCGAGCTCTCTCGGACGACTGTACGCTCTGTCCTCTCTTCCAGGTCCAGGTAGAGTTCTGAAAGGGAGGTATTGAGACTCGTTTCGGTGGATTTCGGCACCTTGACTGGCTCCGTATATTCCGGTGTCCGCAGCGGCGTCCGGCTTCGTAACAAAGCCTCGAGACGAAGTGTGAAAACTTTCTCGCTCTCCAGCTGTACATTTAATTCACCCCAAAACCGATCAAGGGTTGCTTCTGCTCGCCGCATGCGGTCCACGACATCCCTTGTGCGCTTCTTCCCAGCGGGATAGTCGAAGATGCCGTCGCTCGGTTGCTCCACAAGCTCGCATGGCGATATTGGCGACTCTCTTACTGCAGTCATGTAGTGGATCTCAACACTCGATATCGTCTCCCGGTATTCCTTTACAAGCTCCTTCAGATTTAGTAATAACGCACTCTCGAACATTGCGGGCCGAGGGTAGTGGTCCTGTATTTGCCGCAGGCACGTGGACACGACAGTCAGATCAGATAATCCATTTGCCACCCGAGGTGAGATGAAATCCTTTAATTTAGGATCCTGCTCTTGTATGCGAGCCAGTTCATCCATGATATTTCCCAGACCGATCCAATTGACGTCGAGGTCCCGTAGTAGCCGCGTCATCATCCAGAGCAATCGGCCTCCGCTAGAGTCAGCAGGGAAATCTTTCTTGAGCGAAACGTGTATTCTGGAGCCAGCATCCTCCCTCATGTCGATGAGGCGACGAAAAGGTGGTGAGTAAAGTAACTCAATGGTCACATCCTCACACAGCCGATTCGCGAAAACAATCAACGAGTAGCACAACCTACACAAGGCCTGCGAATAATCCTTTGGGAATGGGGTCCCGGCATCCAACGTTGATGTGACATACAGCTCTCGGGCATCAGCCACTTGGTCTAGAAGTAAGTCCCAGTTTTGTATCATCACTAGAGCGTGACAGACACATTTGGAGACTACCTTGGTCCAAGTTGTGCGTTCTGTCTCACCGAGCTTTGATTGTCTGATCTTCCGCAAACTTAAGGACTGGGCTGTGGTGTGGGCTTTGACGTCTTCAATGTTGCTAGCGAAGTAACCAGGATCCTCGCGAAGTGCCCAGAGATGGTCTTCAGCGGCAGCGAGCTTTTCCGCCATAAGGCGTTCGACGCCATCCAGATCCAACGTCGCTGGACGTTTGTCCCGAGCTTCTCCGATCGTGGCGGCAACAGAAGCAAGCGCTGGTGTGTCATGCGATGCATGGAACCACTCAGCCTTGACAGGGTAGTGCAAAACATCTGATGCAGGGATATCATGTAAGATCCGACGGCAGATAGAGACAAGAAACTCGTATAGCCTTTGCTGAGCCCTTAAGGCCGAAAGGCCTTCGCCTGCAGGAAAGATATGATGCTCAGAAGGTCGGTCACTGCGGCGCAGCAGCTCTTTGATCGGAATGATGTCGACGTTGCCAGTCGATGGAGAGTGGTTGACAAACTCCATCACGTATCCGTCACACGCTGGGTATTGAATCTTGTCGGTTGCAACGCCAAAACGATGGGTGTCGGTATCAACAACACAGAATGCGATTGGGTCGCTTTGGGCTCGAGATTGCAGCAAGAGAGGAAGCAACTTCGGCCTCGAGAGGTCTTCTTGGTTGATCGAAGGCCAGTAGAACCAGGCTTCGGGGGCCAGGCGAAGGCTCCGTTGCCCTTCCATGAAAGCATTGAGGTCCGGCCTATGCACTTCTGGCATATCCGGCCAAGCTTCCAGGAGCATCTGTATCCGCTTCCCCTTCGTCTTCTTAAGCCACCGCTTCTCGATTGTTGTAGCGTGCCGCGCGATTATTTGCCGCAACTCCTCCCAACTTTCGCGCACATTTCTATAGTTGGCTCGCGCTTCCGCTTCGGCTTTCTCAGGAGATAGGTGCTGTGGAGGTGGCCGCGGATTGGCCCTCCTCAACATGTGCGATTTCAACAACCGGAGATCGCGACACGAGTAGTCGGTCTTTTCATCTGTAACAGAAATAGTAATAAAGTGGACTTCAACTCCACGGATAGCTTCTGAACCTTTAGGGGCGGTTACGGGGACCGCGGAAAGAGTTGGAGTTTCCGGCCTGTATGCGTTGGCAATGAGGTATTCACGAGATCTGGAATTCTCTGCCGGTTGAGAAATCTCGAGGGCACGCGCCTGGGAGCCTGGCAGTGCGTATGATAGCGTGAGATCCAGCTTGAATGGGTAGGCTGCCATTTTTTGTATTTTGTAAGAGGAAAGAAAATAATTGAGCAGCTCTGTTTCTGTTTTGATCTGAGTGGATGCCAAGAAAATTGGTGTTACTACTGCCGCTGAGGGATAGAGAAATTTGAGGCCCCGGCATATTGGACTCTCGCCTAGACACGCGTAGTATCGGGAGAAGGAAATTCCCCATCAATATTCTCCGGCTACTTGCCTCAAGGAACATTTGCTACAGATTGAGTACCTGCCGGCCACTGGAAGAGGATTGGAATAGCGCTCTCGCACGTTGGTATCCAGATCGTCATGGTGGATCGGTAGCGATTTGGCTGTTAGGGGTTTCTCTGCGAATTCGTTCTTACGCCAAAGTTAGGCTGGGTTGAAGTTCGATTGACAATCTTATAGATCCGAGCGGCTACGGTCTGAAGGCTTGATTATGCCGAGAACAAGGAGAGACCGATGCGTGCAGTATATATGAGGTTTCTTCTTCAACGCTAGCGAGAGCATCTCTGAAAGCTCGACGACATATACACCAGATAGTATTTATCTAAAATAATTGGACTCAGTGAGTAGAATCTGTATTGATTAACGAGTGTATGCATCGTCGCGGTTCGACATATTGTAGGCATGACTCAACTTTTGTGTCGCCCACTTGACGTTCAACCCCTGTCTCAAGGGTGGGCTCTCTTACTCTGGATTGGAGGCCTGATGCCACTCCATACATAGACGAAGAGAACTAAGTAAACGGAACATCGTTGTTTATTAGTGTCTTCATGCGGTTTTCTGCTGGACGCCTTAAAAGACAAGAGCGGGAACATCATCCAGCGGAATTAAGGGGGCATATGCACGTCTCACGGGCTAGGACACAAGGCTAACGTCGAGCGCACGTGTGCGATTTCCCGACTTCAACAAAATGGCGCTTTTCTGGATCCGGCTGCTAAGCTTTTCCGGTGAAGCTATTGTGCATACCGACAAGAGGAGCAGCATGGATCCTGAAGAGTGCACTGTCCTGACTACAGTACCCAGTTTGGTGTGCCTCTGTCGTATGCCGAGGGCTCTCGGAGAAGCTCTTTTCGGTTCACCTATTCGGCTATCGCGGATTATCCGAATATCTCAATTTGGAATCAATCCATGACATATGTGACCATATTCACGCCCTTCAGCCTTATGGATATAGTATGTGTGGGGGAATTTGTAAGCGGCCCGAGATCCCTAAACGATTTGGTTTTTCGAAATCGGAAATCGGAAATCGGAAACCAAACCTATGCTATGTCGACATCGCCGAAATGGCCAACCCAAAAGCCATGTTGTCGCTTGCAAAGGATTATGCAGGCACGAGATGCTTACTATGGCTTCCAGATGTAGGGGTACATCCGTCTGAAAGTGGAATGGTGCTTACAATCGACCAAAATTGCGGTTTGGAGGATTCAGGATTGGTGGGAACAAGCATCATGAGACACGGGGTGGCTTGCGGTGAAGTGAGAACTTAACGTTATTACAACGTCAGGTCATTGCGCATTTACCTATTATGAACAAGATCTTAATTCAACGTGGCGAAGGGCCATATATCTAACGCCGAGAATAGGTCACCCATTTCGGCTGATTTGGGGTCAGTCGTTCAACCGCCAGAAGCAAAATAGCTCCGAAAATTCGGCCGGAGACAAT